CAACACCTGAGTTTTCAGGGACTTCAACTTGACCATTTGGGTGGTCCTAATAGCATCATGAAAAACCCATGAAGATAGCTTATTCTTTTCCCTGAACTGCCCCTCACTCCATCCCCTCCCCTTATAACAGCCCTTGTGCAAGCTAAGACATCACCACATTAGCCTTCATCCAAGATCTTTCCCATCATGGATACCAGCCATGTAATATCTCAGCTCGGATCCCAGTTATATATTCGTTTTGGAGGGTACATTCACAGTCTTTTGTGCTTAGTTTCAATCACACAACCACAAACCCAGCCATGCAAAGATGATAGGTAAGTCAAGTGAATCGCCTGGCCTCTTGAAGAATGTTACATTTCTTGCAGAGAACCCAGTAGATTTAGAACACTTCTTTTTATACCAAGATACTTTCAAACTTTATCTCCTCTATCTCCTTGCAGCCAACATTCATGTCATTCCCATTCCCAGCCTGCTAAAGGAATTATAAGAAGTATACCAATCAGCAAGATCCCCAGGAAAAGCATATGAATAGAAGATAATGCCTAGCACCAACATCTTGAGCTAAGAGATGGCGACACCCTGAGTTTTAGCCTGGGAAGTTGGTATGCGTGCTGGTAACGGAGTATCCTCAAGGAGCAAGCCTTGTCCTTGTTTCTCTTCTCTTTTTCTAATATTATGCTATTTTTCTTTAATTGTTTTTCCTTTGGCTCTTTCTCTCTTTCCCTTCATATAAATTATAAACATATGTATATATTTTCCTAGTAATCAGTATCCCTAGCTATACTTTACCAAGACTGCATTGAAGAAACAAGTCTCATAACTGGGAGGTGCAGGGTTAGGGAAGCGTAGAGAAGCTATTTTCCAGAAGCATGTTTTATTACTTCTGTGACTTAAATATCTCTATCTCACCTCATTTTCCTTTAAGGGTAAATATGTAGCAAACTGAGACACACTGATAGGGGATCACAGTGAGAAATGAATGCAGACAAAAAACTTATTAGCATAGTTTCCTCTCTTCTAAAAAAAATAAAATCCTCCCCTTTCCCAAAATAACTGATAAATGATCCTTTTTGGTGATGGTTGTGGTGCTACTTTTACTGCTATCAAATGCCTACTTCATACCTAATTTTCAGCTACCTTGCTGAAAATTAGAGCTTCGCAGATCTGGACAGCAAATGTGGATGATTGAAGGATGGGATAAGGCCACTAAGGCTCAGAAGACACTAGACTTTAGAAGACCAGTTGACTTCAACTCACAGAATTTAAATCTTAAAAATATTTTAGAATTTTTCTTTTTCCCAAAGAATGCTTAACAACTTAGAAGAGTTAGGGTTATGTGAATCCTGTATTATGCCAAAAATCCCATAGCCACAGTTATTGTATTTGGCTTCACTGGACATTATCCTGGAGAAAGAAAAACTTCTGACTTCCCAAGGCCCCACTTGTGCCCAAACTCAGCCCAGTATCTCCTTGACCCCAAATTGCCTTGCTTCTTCTTATCTACTTGGCCATCAAACTCTGGTTGTTCAGCTGATCTCCACTAGATACCCCGAAGAAAGCATTCTTATTAAACATTCATCATAGAGAATGAATGGTCAATGGACTCAAACCTTCCCAAGAGAATTTTTATTTTATGGAGGAAGTTGTTAGTATATATCAGTGTCTAATGGGTAGAATATCAGGTGTAAACACCCACATTTATTGAAAGCTTATTAGATGTTGGTCATAGTCCTTTGTGCTTTGTGTCAAAGCCACAAAACTAAGAGAAGCGGCCTTGTAACACAGGGAAAGAAGTCCTTCCCAACACTTTACCCTCTTCCTCTCACCCCAGCCACCAGCTCCCACTCATCCAGTGTCCACCCCAGTGTCCACCATCTCCTGGTGTTCTCACCCAGTCTTAGCCTCCTTCATTCAGTGCTTACCTTGGAGAAGTGCTGATCTTCCCACACATGTGTTTGGTCATCCCCTCTGCCCCATTATCACCCATATCCTAAGGCACCAAGAGAACCCGAGTTCCAGTCGACTCACCTCCTAACAACAGAGTTTAGGGACAATAATAATTTGGATGTTACATTTTGTTTCCATCTGATGGCAGAAAACCACTGGATCATTTACAAAGAAAATTTTTCCATTTAAAAATTTCTGATGTAATTCATCCTAAAACCAAAATTTTCTCCAGTGTTTTGGTAACATAGGCATGAGGTATAAAGGGTGTACTTACCTTTCAGCTAAAAAAACAGGATTTACACAGTGGCCACTGTTAATATGAACTTTGTTTCAAGGTTATGTTGCATTAAATAGACTTCCACCCCAGCCAACTCAGATGCCAGCTTGATTTAATTTTGGCCTCTGTGAATATGGCATGGAGGGCATCTGTTTCAGGGGGCACTAAGTCAGCCCTGGATTTATATTTGCTCTTGACTGGTTTCTGAGAAACTGAGGTCTCAATGCTCTTACAGGTGGAATGGCCACATGGAGCAGCAGAAAGGCAAATCAAGAAAATGAGGAAGACACAAGAATTCAGGGATCTGGGCTTTTTTCTTAGAAAGGAGTACATGCTCTGGTACATCAGTGACCTCAGTTTATGCCTTTTGCTAGAGAATAATTACTAAAGACTCACTGGTATGGATCTTGTCTTGCAACCCTTTAATTCCCTTTGATTAGATGCATCAATCTTGGTCTGAAATCCTTGTATTTCCTTTTAAGAAGCTAAAGAAACTTCCTTGGGCAATACATCTGTCAACTCATTGATCTGAAACATACCCTTCTCCCTAATCTTGCTGATTCAGTGTCAGTCTGAGCTGCTCACCTTTGCAGAAACCATGTCTGTGTTTGTTCATTGTGGCATGCCCAGTGCCTAGTACAGTGTCTAGTGCACAGCATGCATTCAACAGACAGTTGTTGAATAAATGAATGAACCCAGATATAGCACTACAGCATGGATAACAGTCTCAAGGCACTTCAAAGACCCGGGGTAGATGAGTTGTCCAGTACTCCTGAAGCCCCAAACCAACAGCGCTCTCTTATCAGGTCCATTCTTGCTCAGACTGAAGACCAGCTCTTCACTTCTCTACCTCTCTTCATGGCTTACCCTCTTTGACCAGATGTTTTACCTTCATCCAATTCTTCTCCAATGAGCTGCCCTTCTATACTACTAATAAAATGTAGGTAGAAGAAGGAGGCTAGGGGAAAAAACAAACGAAATGAAAGATTAAGGATATCAGGTGTAAACATCCACCTGATTAAGGATTAAGGATATCAGGTATAAACATCCATCCAGATTAAGGATGAATAATGTAGTTTATAGTTGCCATTTTCTTTTCTTTTTTTTTTTTTTTTAAGATTTTATTTATTCATTTAAGAGAGAGAGAGACAGAGCACAAGCAGGGGGAGAGGCAGAGGGAGAGGGAGAAGACTCCCTGCTGAGTTGGGAGCCCGACACGGGCTCGATCCCAGGACCTGGAGATCATGACTTGAGCCAAAGGCAGATGCTTAATCATTTGAGCCACGCAGGCGTCCCTAGTTGTCATTTTCAAGTCTCAGTTCTTTGAACTGTAACTTCTGTTACAAGTATTTTATCTTCCAAAATTCTAGGAAGACTGCTTGGGGAAGGAGGAGGCAGTGGAAAGGAGGTAGGTTAGCTGCTGGATCACACCCCATGGGGATCTGCCCAAGTTGGAGGGTCTCCAGGGAGGAGCAAGGGATGGGACATGGCACCATGCTCAGAAGGGGGTAGAGAAGGCAGGGGGAAGTTGGCAGTGCAAGGGCTAAGGGAAAGAAGCTGAGCAGTTCTGCTGAACATGAGATCTGAGGGGAAGAAAAGTCTAAATGCACTGTGATTTGTGTGTGAGCCATCCCTTGAATAACACCTAAGGTGAAGACCTGTTTGTTCTTCGAGGCTGATGACTATTGACTGGTATTGAATAGGCTGGCTCTAGAGGCAAACCAATGATACTTGATTAATATTATTCTCAAAATAGCCAGAGACAGATAGCAAAAGTTAGAAGGGAAAATAAAGGCCAAGAGAATCCTCTAGAAAAGCTGTAATTCCCAAATACTCAGTTTCATGAGCCATGAAAATATTAATAAATTTTTTGAAGCTAACTTAAATTTTGCAAAGGGAAGCCACTGTGGCAGGGGGATGGGGCTCTACCCTACATTAACACTATCATAACATTAAGTTAAACACCAACAAATTGGAAAATATATACTTTTAAAATGAAATGCAGTTTTTAAAACTAAATACATTTAGCTATGTGGGAACTCCTTTACAATTGTCCTTTTTTTTTTTTTTTTTTCACATTTCATCATGGACCAATGAAAATGCTTCATGCATCCCCAGACCAGTGTTTATGAACAGCCGCCCCAGAGGCTGCAGGGCACACAGGTTCCTCTGACCCCAAGGAAACTTAAGAACCCTCTCCCAAGAAAACACATATACACACACAAGCTTTTGCAGAGAACTTCAGGGAGTCATCTCTAAACTAAGTACTTGTGCCCCAGAGAACCCATTGCACTAATAGAGATCAGTCATTTGAATTAAAAGTACCATTGCCGGTAGTTTTTGCAATCTTATCTTAATTTTATAGCTGTGCATACTAAGGCATGACAGTTCAATAACTTACAGTCTATTACCATGTGAATTAGTGGCAGACCAAGGAATAAAATTCACATGACCTAAGTTCAACATTGACTTAGCCAAACTACCTAACACTGAGAATATAACATAATGAGCAAATGACATTTCCCCAACAATGCAGAAAAGTAAATCAGCAAATCTACTTTCTTACTACCCTGGAGGCAGGAATAGGGATTGGGAGTGAGGGATGGGGGGGAAGAAGGTAATTGGAAACAGTGACAATAGACAGAACAAAAGCCTCGCACTTTCACATGAGAGAATAATATAACCATAAATCATTCAGGATGTTTTTAAGAGAGAGAACTGAGTAAATAAGATAGCTTCCTTCAATTCGCTTTGCCTGGGGGGTAGAGGGAGGATCCAGGAAACAATTCCAATTAACCCTAACAAAATTAACATCCTAATAGGTGAAAATCCTGAGTTCAGCTGCTACCCAGAAGGCTATGATAATGCATGTGTGAGAATTTTGAGCTCACACATATGGAAGTGATATCAAATGTAAGGTATTATTATTTCTGTACTATGCAGTCATTTTCAGTGCTAAGGAAAAGACAATAACCCTCCCAACCTCCCTAACCTTTTAAAATTTTTTTATTTTTTAAATTAATTTATTTTTTATTATGTTCAGTTAGCCAATGTATAGTACATCATTAGTTTTTGATGTAGTGTTCAACGATTCATTAGTTGGGTATAACACCCAGTGCTCATCACAACACGTGCCCTCCTTAATACCCTAACCTTTTTTAGCTCCCAAGATTGAGAACTCCGAGTATAGCTACTTAGCACAGTCCGAAGTCAGATTTAAATATAAATATAATGAACAAAATACAGTAAATGTACCAGATTATATATAAATGTGTATAGAATCAATCAAGGCTTTATTGAACTAAATTTTTCTGTACCACACTTGAGTGATACAATCACAGGAAAACAAATAAATATTGGAGATCTATTATATATTATTTGTTTTTCATCATAACTGGTTCCCTCTCCCAAACATTCCCCTCAGATATTTGATATAATCACAATCTAGAGAAGCCATCAGTGAAATGACACACTGTTCCTTCCATTGACACCAGCAAAACCTTCACTCCTCCCTGGGGCCTGAACCTGGAAAAGGTGCACTTCATAATACCTGGAATTCCTGCTGAGGTGTTAATGACTTGATTCAGTACTCTTCTCAGGTATCTTTAGCCTCCGAAAGATGTGCCTAGAAAGTACATTGCTTAATGTATTAAAGTGAATTTCTAATGGTAGAATCTCGGATGAAAAACACCTGGTTAGAGAACATACTTGCAGTGGAAGGAAACTTTCCCAGCACAAGTTAAATCTCGCTATATTATTTTTTGATATCTAGAATTGGCCCCAGCCCTGCTACTACTATTACTAGTAATGAGATGACTCTGTTTATGTATACATGTATGGGTGTGTGTCTATACCGGTGTTGGTAATAAGGCAGCAAGCTAGGGGACTGATACATTGGTGTTATTTCCTATTTCTGCTATTATAAATAAGGCTGATTTTCCCAAGTTTAACTTTTTTTCTTTCAGTTTTGTTTTATAGAGTTTTAATTTTTCTTTTTCTACCCTATACTGGCTTTAATGTTTAAAAATTCATTCACTTCCATGAGAGATTTACTGAGATTTTTCTATGTGACTTACTGTATCACAAGTTTTTGTACGGACTCCTGAGAAGGAGGTATATTCTTTGAAGGACAGAAAGTTAGATGTATATCTGTTGGTACAGCTCTATGATCGTTAACATCCTTCCATAGTGTTATTTGATTTTACGTATTTGATCAGTCGTAGGCTGAAAAATGTGCATTTAAGTCTCTCATAACAATAACAGTCCTGTTTCTCCCAATTTCTCTTTATATTGTTTAATAGTTTTGCCTTACGTATTTTTATGTTAGGTTATTTACTACATAGAGTTTCATAACTTTTGATGTCATTGTGGATTCTGTGTCCTTCACCAATATACTTTGACCTTCTTAGTTTTTTGTGAGCCTTTTGCCATGAATTCAGTGTATAGCACACAAGATGTAATCTCTGCCTCTGAATCCCTCAAATGGTGGTTGCTCCCTATTGTACTTCTGTGTGCTTTTAGTATAGTTCTCTCTTTTTCTAACACACACATATATGTAATTTTTATCCTCCTTACTCATCCTCTCTATCCAGACTCAGCGTTGCCTTGTTTCTTTAACAAATATCAAGTGCCTACCTGAAATACAATCAGCCAGATTCCTGATCTTAAGGCACTGAGGAAATAGACATGCACCTCCCCATACCCTGAGCACACAGGTGGGCTCCCCAGTCATCTTCATCAGAAGAGGCATTGGCTCAACTGTCCTTGCGGAGAGGTCAGTCCCCCATTTGGATCATCAGTAAGAGCAGCAGTTTGAAATGCAAGACATCCCATCCAATTCCTAGTGTGGCTCTCCTGTACCAAGATGTGTCTCCTCCTCAGCTGGCCAGGTTTCTGCAACTCTGAATCAGTGCAGTATTTCTGAGCATTCTCTCCCCATCATGTATCTCTACCAGCCCACGCCCATTATACTTCACATCCAAAGGCTGTACCTTCCAGATGACACTGAGCTACCACCAGTCTCTTATCCCCATCCCAACCTCCCCCAACACATACACACATGTCCTACATCCCTCCCACTTCACATTTCCTCCTTTGTTGTTTCCTGGAAGTCACAGAATGCTTATGCCAGTATAATTATGTTGGGGTCAATTAGGGGCTAGGAACCTGGTCACCTCTAAACTAGTCCATGTAGCAGCAAGTACTAGAGGGGCACCCGGGTGGCTCAGTCAATTAAGCAGCCGACTCTTGATTTCGGTTCAGGTCATGATCTCAGGGGTCATGAGATGGAGCTCCATGTCAGGCTCCATGTTCAGAACAGAGTCTGCTTGAGACTCTCTCTCTCCCTCTCCCTCTCCCCCTCCCCCTGCTCATGTACACACGGACTCTAAGTAAGTAATAAATAAATAAATAAAATCTTTAAAAAAGAGAGACAGAGAGTACTATAACCCTTTTCATGCTTTATTCGGGCCCTGAGTCTGAGCCAGGGGGACATGTAAAGAAGAGGGAATGATGTGTCCTTATCTTTTTTTCATGGGGATAGGGCTTCTTTGTTTTATAAAATTAAGCATGGCTAGGTTACTGTTTATTTTAATTCCAACAGCCTTTCTAATAGTGGAAATTTCTCCCAGATTCTGTTTCTTGAGGTTCCAGTTTGAGGCACTTGAGTGAGTTTTTATTCTCTGTGACTTAGGTATCTCAGGGGGAAATTGGAGAGGCTGCACTGAGGCCTTCGCTTCGATGCTACTTCAAATGTGAACCAGAAAAACAAAGTTCAGCTGAATGAGGCAAGGCCACTCTTCTCCATCTGCATCCTTCTGTTGCTGGTAGAATAAAACAGCAGTGATGAGTGTGAGCAAGGATCCGATAAGCCAACGACATGGGTTTACAACCCGGCCAGCCTTTTCTCCCACTCAAATTAGGTAGTGCTATGAAAATGCTTAAAAACGGTATGACATCCAGTAAATATGTGGTGGCTTTATTATAATATGTTATTATCACTGCAGTTTTGCCTTCTAAAATTGCCTCTGCTGCTACGTCAAAGAATGATCCATTTCCTCAATGTTAAAAATAAGCAAAATATTCTGATTGCTGAAGCTCATCAGAGCACAACAGTCATGGGAACCAGCAAAGTGCCTTTAAAAGTTCAGGGGCAGAAGAAATCATACTTTCCTGAGAATAAGCATTTCTTGTTTTCCAAAGGCTAAAGAGAAGTCTTCCCCTCTGGTGGCCATGGCAATGTCAGGCGCGGGAATTGGATACTCGGATGGCAGCCTTCCACAGGACCCTGTTTTACAATAAGAAGTATTTCTGGGAGGCCTGGAAGTGGCCGTAAGGGCATGTAATTTAAAAGCACTATGAAAGGGAAAGTGGAACTGTGAACACATGCATTCTTTCAGTGAGGCTGTAGTTAGGGAAAACACTAATATAAAAATAAGCTATTTTTAGGACCTCAATATCTCAGCTCCGTGAATGCTTCTGAGTACTTTTTTTGAACTTATTTTTCCATTCTAAGTAATCAATCTAAAACTATAAAAATAGGATGACACACTTGGTTCTGTTGGGCCACAGCTCCCATCCAGCTGGGGGGATTAAGTGACATTCCATTGTTGAGCACTTCCCAGCAAAATTGCTAGTGAGCTTCTGATTGCAAAATCTTTACCCTTGGTATTGACTTAAGTAGCAGGAAGAACATGACTTGATTTTTCAAATCCCTGGTTGATAGGCTGCTGTTATTAAGCTTTTGAACCATTCAGCCCCCACCCCCCCTACACCAAAGTCTTGGGGAAGCTGTAAAATTTCTCTTTCTGTTTCATAATTTTTTAGTGAGCTAAAAACCTGTGGGGCAATTTTTCAATGGCACGTATATAGCAAGTCAACTAATTCTCATGTTTTGACTACAGTGTCTTTTATACAGAGGCAGATAGGAAATTCCAAGTAGCTCCGAAAGCACCATCAGGAGAATGCATACCAGCTGGGAGGCAGCTAAATTCACATGCAAGATTGTGTGCTTAAAGCAGTGATCCCCAGTCTACCCTAATTTGATTGGATAATGGCCAGATAGTTATTAAGCTAGAACTACATGCTCAGCATTTGGTTGAAACCTGGTGAGTTTCAAAAGAACAATAAGGAGTGGATCACTAAATTAAGGATATGCAATTAAAGTTTATAATGTAAGACTTTTGTTTTTTTTTAAGAGAAAAGGGAATATGGTGGAAAGAACTTTGGCTTTTATCTTTAATTTCGGATATGTTATTTGAACTTTCTGAGCCTGTTTCCATATCTGTAAAATCTCCCAAGATAATAAAATAAACCTAATAGTGTTGTTGAGAGAATGATAACTTAATAAGTATAAATAGCATAGTGAATGTCTGGCTCATTTTGATGAGGCACATCAGGACTAAAGCTAGAAGAAGCATCTGGATCTTGCCTCTGCTTTGAAGAGTCAGAGATTGACTCTTGTCAATTTCCAGAGTAATTCAGCCTGGAGAGGTAGACACACAGTAATCACAGCACGCAGGAGACTGAGGTGGGTCCTAAGGTGCTATTAATTTGAATGCATTTTTATAGTTTTAGATTGATTACTTAGAATGGAAAAATAAGTTCAAAAATAAGTACATCTGCAAAATAAGTATATTCTCTCCTTCCTATGTGCAAGGCTCTTAAAATAGTGTTTGGCACATGGTAAGCACTTCATTAAATAATAACTAGATGTAAGTTATTATCAGAAGTGCTTGTAAACAGGAAACATGCTATGTCTGAAAGATCAGCACATTATGTCCCTGTACACAAAACCACTGGGGATTAAAACAAGGAAGTTGGAGTAATAAAATAAGGACCAGTGCAGTGAGCTAGTGGACACTGTGGAGTGCCCACCCACAACTCTAATACCTCCCCCACTTTTTTCTTAACATTTTGGTCAGGTACCAACCACTCAGGGAAAACCAACCCAACCTCAGTTCTGTTGGAAAACCTAGGTAGGCGAGGGCAATGCTATCCTTATCCCAAGCAGTTAATTCAAGTGCAGCAGTAAGAATGTGACTAATGGTCTTTGATGAATCAATCACACCGCAAGTCCACTCTAACTCAGGACTTGAGTTAGGCAAGATAATCATTTCCTGACTGGTTAAAGTTGAGGATTCTGGAACTTGCCACTGAAGGCATCCGGCCAGAAACAGAGGACACCAGCTCCGATGGATACACCATCTCACAAGAGGAAGTCTTGCCAGTGAGACCAGAAATGTGAAGTTCCTTGGCTATAATGCCTTCTTTTTTTTTTTTTTTTTTTAAAGATTTTATTTATTTATTTGACAGAGCAAGAGGAAGCACAGCAGGGGGAACAGCAGAGGGAGAGAGAGAAGTAGGCTCCCCACTGAGCAGGAAGCCTGATGTGGGGCTTGATCCCAGGACCCTGGGATCATGACCTGAGCTGAAGGCAGACGCCTAACTGACTGAGCCACCCAGGCACCACTACAGTGCCTTATTCTTATCCGCATCTTAAAGATAGCTTTGCCATTGGTAAAAAAGCCTTGAAGGCCAATGACCAATACTCACTTTCCCAGGAGCAATGGCCTATCAGACTCCTCCTGTGTTTGTCTCTGGAAGGGTCTTTCTCTATGCATCTATGGCTTAACAACCCTACCCTTAACCCTCAATTTGGTGAATATCCTTCTACACATCTCTTTAATCAGATATACATAATCTTATACAAATGACATCTTACTGATGTATGCTCTTTTGTAACCTGATTTTTCCCCTGAACAATATGTCTTGAATAACATTTTTTGTCTGTAAATATAAATCTGCCTCATCATTTTTTTTGTTGCATAAATACATTGTGTATTAAACCAATTTCTCTTTGAAGGGCATTTAAATGGTTTCTGAGTTTTTCACTGCGTATAGTATGTTGTAGATACTCTCTTTGTACTTGTCTAGTTATCTCCTTGAGGTGAAGCTCTAGAAATTACATTTTAGATTCAAAGCATATACACATTTGATTCATTTTGTCAAGATTCCTTCAGTTACAAAGAATAGGAGTTCCGATTAAAGAAATAAAAACATAAGGAATTGAGTATAATTACATAACAAGAAGTTTGGAAGTTGGGACATTCTAGGGTTAAGTCAGCAACTCAGTAATGTCACCAAATACAAGATTTTTTCCATCCTGTTCATCTGGTATCTTCAGTGTACTGGTCCAGTTCTCAAGCTTATCCCTCATGGTTACAAAATGGCATCAGAATTCCAGGCATTACATGACAACACCTGTAAGAAGAGGGGCATTTCCTCCCATACATCTCTTTTTACCCAAGAACAATGCTTCCCAGAAGCTCCTAGCAAATTCCCTCTTGTATCCCTTAGCCAGAATTGGCTGGACACCTAATGTGATAGCTAAGAAAAGTTTAGGGATGAGAATACTGACAAGGTGTTCTCGGAAAGATTGTGTCCATTGTATTTTCACCATCAGTACCTGTTTTTCTGCCTTTTGTCAATCTGATAATACATAAAAAAGATACCTTGTTTTTGTATTTATCTACTTATCGAATATCTTTTCAGGTATTTATTGGCTGTTTTGTAAAACTGCCTGATTATATTCTTTGCCCTTTGTTCAAAAATTTTTTTCTTATTGGTTTGTAAGTGCTCTGGGTACATTAGGAAAAGTAAGTCCTGTGTATTAGGATCCTAGATGCTGCTAATTTTTCTGCTGATTGGCTATCTGCCTATTAACATTCTTTACAGTGAATTTTGCCATACAGAATTTTTAATTTTTATGTAGTCCAATTTATCACTCTTCCCTTTATGGTTTCTGGCTTCATTATTAAGTTTAGAAGTCCATGCCAACTCAAAGATCAAAACACGTTCACCTGTGGTTTTTTTAAATATTTCTTTTAAGTGGTTAGCCATCTGTCCCAGCAAACATTAAATAATTCATCTTCTCCCCAGTAATTGGAGAATGCCATCTTTATAAGATACTAATTCCCTTATATGTAAATTATTTTTGTACACCAGTTTTTAAAATGAAGCATTCAACAGATATTTATTGGTTTTTTTCAATGTTGAAAGCACCTTGCTTATGGATGAAAGTAGAAACAGAGATGAATCAGACCCAGTGTTTGTCTTTAATCATACACATGCCTGTTATTAAAAAGTACAGGTACTGGACTAAGAGTGATGGGTTTGATTCCCAAGTTGTCCACTTACAAAAAGTTGTAACTTCATATGACCTTGAGCACAATACTTTGCCCCACTGTGCTTCAGTTTTCTCTTGTACGAAACAGGATAATAATAATAGTACCTATTTCATAGAATTGATGTAATAATTAAATGAGTGAATTCATGTAAAATACTCAGAGTCTGGCACAGAGGGAGGGCATAATAAATGCTAGCTATTGCTTAAACTTGGAGGTAGGGCATCATAACTTTAAAGGCACACACTCTGGACTCACAGTGCATGGGTTGGAATCCTTCTTCCAACACTTACCAGTTGGGTTAGTTACTTAACCTCACCATGCCTCAGTTTTCTCATCTGTAAAATGGGGATAGTAATGATAGTACCTACTTCATAAGGTTACTGTAATTATTAAATAAATTGACACATGTAAAGTGCTTAGAGTAACACCTGACACATAGTAAGCGCAAAATACATAAAAGCTATTTTTATTATCCAGGGGATATCTTCACTTGATTCCAGACAATTTCAGATCCTGACAATAGAACTAAAGGAAGATGGAAAATGATTTTGGGGTGCTCATGGGGACCTTGCCTTCTTGAGCCACCCAACTGAATAAGCAGAGGGATAGTTTCCAAGAAATTCCACCTCTAGCTTCTACATTTTTCTGTGTTTTGGAGTAATAGCATTGGAACTGTAACAGAAACGCTAGCTAATGCTAGCCACATGGTTTTATCTACACACAAACATTAGACTGCACAATGACTTTCACAAAACATCATTATATTTAGACCAGGTTTGCTCTCTCTTTCAATCCTGATATGATTTGAAATTATCAGAAAGTAGGTATGCATTGAATTTTGTTTTTGCTTTCTCCTCAATTATATCCAAATCCATTATTACTGCCTTGACTATAGGAAACATTTTTAGTTTGACCAGGGCATTTTTCTCCTGCTCCCACCCATCTTCTAAACCAAGGGTAGGCATTATACATGATTATGGCAATCTAAAACTCCACATGTGGCCTCTGAGCGCTGCACATTGCATTTGGACCTGTGGTTTAGCCGGTGGGTGTGTGTCAACAGGCACAGCCAGTCCACTCTCTGGAGACTCTGCAATTGCAGGGAGCTCTGTGGCACGTTGCTTCACCAAAGGGCCACATGCTGCCCTTGAAGACTGCCATGCTGGGGGGTCCACAGCACTGTAGTCAGCCCATCCCCTTCTGGTCATACAAGGCGTGGAGAGAGGGCCATGAGAATCCACTCTATGCTCACAGGGATTAGGTCCTTGGTCAACAATGAATGTCTGTATTTATCCTTTTTTGTGAAATGAAATCAATTTTTTTCCTCCAATTTCAACTGTACCATAGAAAATGGCAAGTCCTGGATATGAATAGTAACATAGATGTTAAAATAAATACTCTACATTTTTTTTCTTTCTCAGACTCTTCTATTTTCTGCCAGTGTTTTTATTGATCCAGATTAGACAGTGTTCCTAATGGAGAAATGGGAAAAAGATTCTTAAGATGAGAAATGAAGATTTTGAAAGTGTGTATTTCAAACTGCACTTAGCTAGCTACAATTTGTCCTTTAAAAAAGGCAAAAGGTATGTAAGTTTAAACTTCAGATTGACCCTAAGCTGATGAATTCTATGAATTCAGTATGAAAATAGCCAAATCCCCGTGCTTTCTCATCACTGAGGACAGAGAAAAGAAGGAGAGGAAGCTAGCATTTGGGGATGGAGTGTATTTGGAAAGAGGAACCTACCTACCCTCCACCACCTCCCTCAACCAAGCCCATTTGTTCTTGCTTTCACCCACCGATGGAACCTGAAAATACTCCCATTTATGCTGAGCTCAACTTAAGACCTAGGTGAAGGTAAATGGATTATTTTATCTGTAACTAGATATTACTTCTGTGATGAAAATTACTCTTTTATTTCTGGGTGAGTTTATTTTTTTAATAACATCCACCAACACAGTCAAGCAAACTGAGTTTGGTTCTAAGAGATTCTGATACATCAAATGAGAGCAAGAGTATAAATAAACCCAGTGGATGGGAAAGGAGTCCTTTGGTTTCAAACTTGGCTGCAACATACATTGCCTTTTGTCTTGTTTGATTCCTGCCTCTCTTTCCCTGAAATTTCTCGAATTAAAGCAATAATATGAAACAGCCACAGAGCCTGGTATTTATTATTTTCTTGTATTTGTCAACATGACATATCCTTATAAATCCAGCTCAAGGGTGAAGATGATGTGTGAAGAAAGTACTATATTCAGATGGTGCTGAGTAGGAAAAAATAAAAAACCCTCTGTTTTATTGCTTTCATTTAATTAAGAACTTCATTGTACTTATTGGAATTTGAAAAGTGAAGCACCAGTGTGTTCTCTGCTTGTGTTGCCTTATCCAAGAAAAAAATAACTTAAGAGTCTAAGGTCTTGGGGCACCTGGATGGCTCAGTTGGTTAAGTTGTCGGTTAAGCTCCAACTCCTGATTTCGTCTCAGGTCATGGTCTCAGGGTCGGAGATTGAGCCCCTCATCTGACTCTGTGCTGCGCAGGGAGTCTGCTTGGGATTCTCGCTCTCCCTCTGCCCCCCTCCCTGCCCCCAATGTGTGCACACGCTCTCTCTTTCTCTCTCAAAAAATAAAGCTAAAAAAGAAAAAGAATGTAGGGTCTGTATTGACAATATTACATTGCATAACTTCCACTGACCTAAAAGCAAAATGCCTTAATTGCAAAGCTCTTTGGGGCCTCTTCCCCTAAGCCTGACTGAAGAAGATTCTTGCATTTCTATTGTCTGCTGCTTCTTAAATATGACAAGGCCAAAGAGATACAGACGTGTCAGTCCACTTATGGCTTCAAGGTTTTATGACAAAACATCATCTGCCAGACGTGGCAGGGCTGAATATGAAAAACTCACTTGCTATTTGGGGAAATGTTGGGAACAGTTGACTGTTTTTCAAAATATCCCATAAGCAATACCTTTTCTTTCTCTTTTGATTGTATGAGGGGCAGAAAGCAAGAACTCAAGAAAGCAAGAATATCAGCTCTTTTCTCTCCCTGGAAGAGACAAAGAAGCAGCAAAGAGCTTAGCTTGCATTTGAAATGACTAAGTATTTGTGCGTGAATGAACGGGAGCAGATGGTGGGGAGGTCTCCCAGGGAATGTGGGTTTGGATAGGATGGAGGATGTGTGAGTAGCAGCTTAGAAAGCCAATAGCAAATTAGTGACACCATGCACACAGTGGAGGTCCAGAGAAATGGTAATTGGGACAGAGACTGGTACCGTAGAAATACTGGAAAGAAATACTTTTAATTTTTTTTTCAATTTGAAAAAGCTAATGAATTTAGCATGTAAAAACTGAAAAAAGCAAAATATCTTCAGAATGGAAGTAGGCATTATTCACAGTCTTTTTAATCCTTCAGTTGTTTCAGAAGCTTTGTGACAAAACAATCTGGTGATCATTGAGTGCCCGCTGTGTATACAGGATCCATGATTTTAGGTCTTGAGCGCGCGCACGCGCGTGTGTGTGTGTAGCATAGGGATGGAGGGTACAAGAAAGTCAGAAGAAAGGGAATACAACCCTTACTCTCTATTACTGAGAATCTTATTGTCTAGCTAGGAGCACAGATGTCATACAGACATGAAGATGAACATTGCATCTGAAGAGAACAGGTCTACTAATGCATATTCATGATGCAACCTGATAACTTAAGCTTCTTGCATCTTCCTTTGAAGAAAATGGAGCACTGATACATTAATTAAGTGAGTGTGGTTGAGTTGCTGGGGACAAAGGACTAGATGATGCTATGTGGCTGGAGGTAAGTTTTTTTCTGGAGTGAATCCATACTTTCACTGTCTTCCTGGGAAGAGGCAGAAATTGAAGACCCGGCCAAGTGGACTTGAGATGGTGGTAGAGGGAATTACTCCCTCTCATGGGATCCAAGAAGGCAGTTTTTCCTGAAAATGAAGCCTGGAAAGATCTAGACAGCCTCCCTCATCCATGGAAGACTATCCAGGCATTAGGTGGGATACTGGTTGTGTAGCAAACTCTGGGCTGGGTCTATACTTGCAGAGCAATTTTAATTTTTCTTTCAGTTATTGCTGAATCTTCAATAAAACCTTATAAAAGTTTCAGCGTCTCAGGGTAGTTTGGGAAATTAGGACAAGGCTTGTGTCCATTCTTAAGACAGGTTTATACAGGGAAGAAAGAGCAATATCCCGTGTCTTAAAACTAGAATTGGGGTAGCAGCAGCCAGACCAGGAAAGATAATGTCTTCAAGGCCACCAGGGACAGATGAGATGACAGGGGCATAAGCAGTTGATGGAAGAGCCAAATCCAAGGGCCAGAGCTGTTTGCCCCAGAACAAACTGAAGACAGAGCTTCAGGAAGTGCTCAGAAACAGCAGGGGTCTTTTTGATGGAGGCAGACTGATACCATAATAATCTGGGTATAAAAAGCAAGTGTAACCTTGCTTAGAATTCAAAGGAGGGTGAGTCCTAAGCTGTGAGGGTCAAAAATTGACAACTAAAAGTAAGTACTCAGTGTCATACACTGAATGCCGTGTCCCCCCAAATTCATATGCTGAAACTCTACCCCCCAGTGTGATGGTATTAGGAGGTACGTTGGGAGGGAATTGGGATTAAATGAGGTCGTGAGGGTGTGGCCCTTATGAACGGGATTGGTGCCCTCTTGAGTCACAAGAGCACCGGCCTCTCAGTGCTCAGTGCTGGGTGAGGGGATAAGGCTAGGTCTGCACTCTGGAAGAGAGCCCTCGCTGGAACTCAGTAATCCTGGCACCCTGATCTCAGACTTCCCCACCTTCAGAACTGTGAGAAATAATTTCCTGTTGTTTTAAGACACTCAGTCTATGGTATTTTTGTTATAGCAACTGGAAGAGACTAAAACACTCAGAGAATGTAGAAGAAAGGAGTTGCCTGTGTTGGATGAGGATAGTAAGCTAAGGATCATGGGAAACATACATTTGAAGTAGAATTCTAGGGACATAAGGGACGTGGAAAAGAAGAGCATTCCTATTTCCAGCCAGGGGAGATGTGCAGGGCTGGGCTCTGCTGATAACAAAGCCATATGATTTACATGATTTTCAGTATGTGCAGGGTGCTTCCTGCATACTCCGACCCCAAGACCCTCACATTTTACAAGATGTCCCTTATGCAGGTCCAGAATTACTCACAGGGACCTGGTCCTCTTTCAGTGCAGCTAATCAGCCATACTCTGCCATCATGGATCAGTGGTCATGAGTCACTGTGGTGAGAGATGCAGTTCCATGACCTCGTTTCCCTCATAGCGCTTATGAGCTTGAGAGAGAAAACAGAAATCAAAGAATAAAAAAACAATGTTTATGTGGTTCTGGCTCCACACTCACTGTAGAAATCCTTCAAAATGTTTCCCCATGTACTTTGGGAGTGCTCAGGAAGAGGTCTAAGTTGTGCGTATTAGTTTCCAAAAGTGGTCATGACACATCACCACGGAGTGGGTGGCTTGAAACAATAAAACTGTCTCTCTTACAGTTTTGGGGCTGGAAGTCCAAATCTGAGGTGTCAGCAGGGTTGTTTCCTTCTGGAGGCTCTTAGGGAGAGTCTGTCCCATGCCTCCCTCCAAGCCCCTGGTGGTTGCCAGCAACCCTTGGTGCTCCTTGTGTTGTAGATACATCTCTCCAATCTCAACCACCATCATCACATGGCCTGTTCCTCTCTGTGTGCCTGTCTCTGAGCCTCTTCTTCTCTTTTTACAAGGATACCAGCTGTGTTAAGGGATCACCCTAGCATGACCTCATCTTATATCTGTAACAATCCTATTTCCAAATAAGCTCTTGTTCTGAGGTCCCAAGGACATGAAGTTGGTGGAGGGCCACTGCTCAACCAGCACTGTGTGCAAGTGAAACGTTCCTCTCAGCAACTCCCTGGTATTGGTTTCCTTCCAGCCCTGCTCTGGGCCCTCTCCCTGGAGAAATTTTATTGCCAAGGCCACTGAGGCTCCACTAAGCTGCCATTGCCCTGTGCAAACCCACACCACCCAATGCATCCACTGAAAGCTGAGATGCCACCCCCTCCCACAGTGCCAATCCCCTTCCCCCTGCCACCCCACCCTCCGGTGACAGAGCCTGTTGGGCTCCTCCCCCAGTTGATATCAACCAGGGAGGTTTGAGGGAAACTGCCCTTTGAGTTCTGACTCTCTTTCGTTTCCAGCTCCCCTCTCTGGGACCCAAGCGGGAGTCCTTGGGATAGAGGCACTAGGGCAAGCCGAGTAGAAGACTTGCTATGCTCACACTCAGCCCACCCTCCCAATGCAGGACATGATGTCTTCTCTTGCACGACATGATGCTCTCCTCCTCTAGAGTTATTTACAGGAGGCTACACGTATCCCCTCAGGGACACCAGGCATTGCTACACCATGGATCCTCTCAAATATGCTCAGATGGGTCTAAGTCCTCACATGAACATGGAGACATAGTTGAAATAATGTGACCATTGAGCAGGCACACGTGACCTGGTCATGGGAATGCAGAGATAAGGATGGGGGTGAGATGTTCAGCAAGGAGAATCCTTCCAAAGTGGAAGAGATGAAGATTCAGTTCAAAAAGAGAAAAAGAGAAGACACCTAGAGGCAAGAGATTTAGGTCAGACCAATACTTCTCAATTTTCGATGCTAAAACACCAGCTAGGTGTCCAACAATTCAATTCAATTCTACCACTATCTACTGGAGTTAGTGTCAGATCCCACAGGTTAAAGTCCTCAGTCCCACAGATGGCCCTCACTTCAGATTCCAATCACAGGTCCCAGGCCTCCCATACTTCGTCCAGCTGGCTGTAAATCAGCGGGTCATATGACACCCTCCTCAAGTTCAATAATTCATAAAACTAACTGACAGAACTCAGAAAAACACTTTGCTTTGTTTACGGGATTATTATGAAGGTTATAACTCAAGAACAGCCAAATGGGAGCGATGCATAGGGTGAGGTTTGGGGAGGGGAGAGTGTACAGCTTCACAGCTTCTACTACCTCTCCTGGAGCACCCTCCCAGCACCTTGACGTGTTCGCCAATCCAGAAGCTCACTGAACCTGTTGTTTAGTGGTTTAGCAAGGTTTCATTATGTAAGCGTGGTTAATTAAATCATTGACCTTGGTGACTGAACTCAATCTCCAGCCATTCTGACATCCCCAAAGGTCAGAGGGCGGAGCTTAAAGTTCCATCCCTTTAACCATGGCTTGATCTTTCTGGGGACCAGCCCCATCCTTGAGCTATGTAGCCCCTACTCCCCAGTAAACCATCTCATTAGCATACAAAAGAATAAATTCGAAAGGTTTTATTTTTTTATTTTTATTTTTTTATTTTTATTTTTATTTTTTTAAAGATTCTATTTATTTATTTGACAGAGAGAGACACAGGCAGAGAGGGAACACAAGCAGGGGGAGGGGAGAGGGAGAAGCAGGCTTCCCGCTGAGCGGGGAGCCTGATGTGGGGCTCGATCCGAGGACCCTGGGATCATGACCTGAGCCGAAGGCAGACGCTTAACGACTGAGCCACCCAGGCGCCCTAAGGTTTTATTTTTTTAAAGATTTTATTTATTTATTTGAGAGAGAGTACAGGAGTCAGAGAGAGCGAGCGAGAGCATAAGCAGGGGGAGGCACAGGGGCAAGGGAGAGGGAGAAGCAGGATCTCCACTGAGCAAGGAACCTGACATGGGGTTTGATCCAGAACCCTGGGATCATGACCTGAGCCGAAGGCAGATGCTTAACTGGCTGAGCCACCCAGGCACCCCAATTCCAAAGGTTTTAGAAGCTCTGTGCCAGGAAGCAAGGACTAAGACCTAATATTTATTTTTTAATTATACCACAATACTATTTTATATTTTCTTATGTTACTGATTACTCTTTGATGACTTCTGCTAGTCTTTCTAATAACTAGAGCATCACTTAACTTCTGTAAGCCTTAGTTTCATCATCCACAAAAGAGGATAATAATAGTACCTACCTCACAGGGTCCTCGTGGGAATTAAGTAAGTTAATTCATACAAAGTTCTCAAGATGGCAGTGCCTGGCACCAGGGAATGGTTCAGTACCTAAGAGCAGTTTCTGCTGAATGTGCCTTTGATATATGTTCGGAGTGCTTTACATGTATTAACTCATTTAATCTTCACAATTCTGTGGGATGAATACCCTTAGTCCCATTTTACAGATGAGAAAACTGAGAAATTAAAGAAGTGCCTGACACAAGGCAGTTTGTAGGCAGTAAAGACAAAGCCTCTGCTCAAAACCATGACTCTTTTGTCTCCACATAGTAGGTGCTCAGTAAACCCTTGTTGGCATGAGGGTCTAGGCTACCCAGAGGTGTGCTAAGCATGCAGAAGGACAACTGTGAAAACACAACCAACAGACAAAAGCAAAATACTTCCTCATGTTTAACAAAATCATTACCCAATGAGGCCCAACTTAAAAAAAAAAAAGAAAGAAAAGATAAATCCAACAGCCCCTAAGGAAATTTGAGAGGAAAAAAAATTTAGAGCACTATGAATTATGAGTGGAAGGACACAGTTTTGGCTGACCTCTTTCCTTATGCACCAACAACCACACTGGGGGATCCTAGTTTTAAAAGGCCAGTGTCCGGGACTCCTTGGTGGCTCAGTAGTTAAGCGTCTGCCTTCGGCTCAGGTCATGGTTCCAGGGTCCTGGGATGGAGCCCCATGTTGGGCTCCCTGCTCAGCGGGGAGTCTCCTTCTCCCCCTTCCACTCCCCCTGCTTGTGTTCCCTCTCTCACTCTGTCTCTCTCTGTCAAGTGAATAAATAAAATTCAAAAAAAAAAAAACAAAACATCCACTTGTGGTTCTTAAAGTTCTAGAACGCTTGCCAGCCTGTGTCTTCAACTTCCTGTCCTTATTTTAAAGACTCTATCTAGTGTGAAACTCTACACTTCACCATAAATTGCTTATTTATACGGACAATCATCTCCTCACCCCAAATTCCCCCACTGCACATTTGTAATTCTAATGAGCTTAATTGCTCTGTTTACTAGCTTTAACCTTCTTTACTTGAAAAAGGTATGAGAAAGGTCTCAGGTACAAATTAAACCAGCACATCAGTGAATCAGGAATGCAGCACAGGGCAAAACCAACACTTTTTTCCCAGAGGGACTGCTTCTCACCTTCTTTTCACATGATTCTGTGCGTCCCAGACTGTTGTTTGACACAAACCCTGGTAGCATGACTACCCTGCTTTTTGAACTACAAGCTGGTTCTCCATGTTCTGCCAGGAAGAGCGTTTGTTGTTCAGGTCAGCTCTTACCACATTTCCGAGCGAACTTTAGGAAATGGAGTGAATGGAAATCTCCAGGTGTCATAGAACTAAGTGAGTTCCCTCCTTAGTGAGTCAAAGATACACTCTATCAGGCGAGCTGTCACAAAGGAAGCTTATTTGCAGCCCATAAAGAGATCATGGGGGGGGACGCCTGGGTGGCTCAGTCGGTTAAGCGTCTGCCTTCGGCTCAGGTCATGATCCCAGGGTCCTGGGATCGAGTCCCGCATCGGGCTCCCTGCTCCGCGGGGAGCCTGCTTCTCCCTCTGCCTCTGTCTCTCTCTCTGTCTCTCATGAATAAATAAAAAAAATAAAATCTTTAAAAAAAAAAGAGAGATCATGGGGAATGACTTCCAAAGCCATGATGCCTCGACCAAGAGTGAACGCGTTCCTTCTATTTAGGGTTAGGATGAATATTTAGATAGGGACAATTTGCGTGGTACGTAGAGGCGGGCCTAAGGTCATGCATGCGCCTTAAGGAAACATGCCTATACGTACATGGTATGTTATGTAAATGAGGCTTGTGCTCCTCCTTGGGTGGAGATTTTAGTGTTTTAATGAGATAAAGGTGATTGTTAGTCATTCCAGAGGTCACTCCATGGTCCACCTAAAGCAGGGGCGAGTCAGAGCTTTAACTCAAGCTGGTCTGGATGGTCTGGGCCAGTAGAGTTGGGCAGTCATTATCTCTGGTGGGGTAGTTTCCGTTCCCATCATGGGACGTTGTGTCCATACTGTCCTTTGCCTGAGTTAAGAGATAAGCTGGAAAGAAGAGCTTAAGGAAAATTGCGGGACAAAGGTCGGTGGGTCCAAGCAGGTAGACAGTAAAGGTCAGGTCTTGGGGTCTAGCTGGTGACACAGGGCCAGAAGGAAAGAAACAGCTTTGTTTTAGTAACAACCGGGGAGAGTCCCATTCTGCTAACAAAAATTACTACTGTTTTTATTACTGTAAAACTCTGCCATAATGTAATAAGTGGGGAGTTTACACACACACACACACAAAATCAGT